TGCTTATATAGCAATGTTAACAAAAGAAGAGAATCCCAATGTCCCTCGCAATGCAAATATATTATCTATCCAAGGTACAAGGGCAATAACTAAAAAAGTACTTTGTTTTTGTTCTTTAAACTTTAAAATAATATCTTAGAGCAATGAAGGCTTCAGAGGAAATGCAATATGATTTCTATTATAATTAACATTTCCATCGGGCATAACTCGTTAACAGCACTTATTTTCGAAAGTGTCAAAGACATTGCTGATATAAACCTATGATAAAAGTTTCATAAAATTCTGGCAATAATTGTATACATGAGAACGTTGACAATGCAATTTTCCATATAATGAATGTTTCCAAGGGGCATAACTCATCAAAGACATTGCTGATATAAACCTATGATATAAGTTTCATAAAAATTCTGGCAAGAATTGAACATATGAGAGCGTTAACGATGCAATTTTCCATATATTCAATTTTTCAAAAGGGCATATATTTTAAAATTACAAACGTAATTGATCGGCAATTATTTTTGAACTCATCCAAGACTTTGCTAATTTAAACCTTTGACAGGAGTTTCATAAAAATTCTGGCAAGAGTTGTACACAAGAGTGTGCTAACAATGCAAATGTCCATATAATTAAGTTGGATCATCGGTATACATTTCCTCAGATAAAATTTTCTCATACTTTGCCAAAATGAAGATTTTACTATGCTTTTTGTCAAAAAAATATAATAAAAAGTATAGGTCACCGTGCTATTTTTCAAGTTACAAGTCGTGTAAAATTGCACAAATTTGCAGAGATTGTTCATGAAAAAACACATGTTTGTGAATAAAAAGAAATCTATGAGATATAATTTTGAAATAAAATATGAGAAGATAGGTTTTATAATATGCTTTAAGAAAATAAAAATGAATATTGAATCAACGATCTTGTTTTCTTGCTACAAGTAAAAAATAAAAATTTCACTATCAATATAGTATACAACTTTTTACTTTAAGAGTTATCACCCTTTAAGTGGCGAAGTTGAAAAATTGATTCTAAAACCACACATATATTCGGTATTAGTTAAAACAATTTGAATAATGCAATAAATCACTTATTTTTCTTTTTTTCAATTAAACAGTCTTACACCTAAATTGTGAATCTGTCTCAAAATTTGCAAATTTAGGCAAAGAACTAGACCGATTATGTATTGCTATTGTACAATCCAAAATGGCTGAATACAGTTAAGCTACGTTAATGTTTCCAAAGTGCATAATTCATTTAAAAATAAATGATCGGCACTGATTTTCAAACTTGTCCAAGACATTGCTGTTATAAACCTATGATATAGATTTTATAAAATACTGACGAGAATTGTAGACGTGAGAGCGCTAACTAGACCGGACGGACGGACGCCTGGTGTTTCTAAGTCATAAATAGATAATATATTAGTACATACCAACATGTAAACCACAGAGTAACAACTGACAACTCCCGTGAATTCACGACAGACTCTTTAGATGTTTTGGATAAGTTAAATGCTTTTCATAGTGTGTTTAACTCGGTCTACCGTTTAAGTTTTTTTCTACTGTAGTGTACACTACACTACCACACAATAATCTTAAACATAAATTCTCTTATTTAATCAATTGTTCCCTTTTTTTTTTGGTTGCAGATTTTATTCCTGCAACACATAAAAAGCCTTATTCTATAATGAAAAAGGCAAATATGCTAAATATACTTGCTGGAGTTGTGATAATGACTAAAACTGTAAATTTTCATCTTGACACTATCTATGTACCTTTCGACAATAAAGTATGTCAACAGGTTTTTGTTATTCATATAACATCAATGGCACACCTTTAAAAGCGGACTTATTGCTGTATCGTTATGAATCATATTTTATGGACAATCTCAGTAAAGATCCATCTAAATTACTAAGAGTAATAAATTCAAAAGCACTCACCGTTACCTTGATAATACCTTTGCTTACGATAATCAAAATTCTTCTAATTTTAGTGCTGAAATTTACGCAAAGGAACTAACTTTATTACATCTAATACATATAACATAAAAGGTCCTGTTTTTGATTTGATTGCTTTAGTTTAACACGAGAAACGTTATACTAATATTTATGACAAGAGACGATTTTTTGTTCCCGATTCTTAATTTTCCATTTTTGGACGGTTATGTTCGTTCGACCCTTTCTTACGTTGTGTATATTTCACAACTTGTTAGATTTTCCCGTTTCCAATGTCGCGTTTCTGATTTCAATAAACGGAACTATTAGTACCCTTATAATCAATTTCTGAAAAGGAGTTTCAAATATCCAAGTCTCAAATGTCGATTGTTATAACCGAAACATATATGTTTGTTCATTATAAATGATCGAAAGAACAGTCTAGATAATATTGTACTTGTCATATAAGCCCCTTGAAGTCGTATATAAGTTGTGGAATAATAACATGTCATTGGTTACACTTGGGGTTCTTCAGTTTTTTTGTTTTTTTTAAGGAATATAACTTAAATGAGAAAACTGAAACCCTACCAAAAACCAGGTGAGGTTAAATTCAAGTACAGCAGACGGATAGATTATACCTGCTAAACTAGTTGCAACTGTCGTGAGAAATGGGAAATGAGACAATAATTTAGCATACAGGGAAGAAGGTAAAAGAGAGGCGAAAGATACCAGAGGGACATTCAAACTCATAAGTCGAAAATAAACTGACAATGCCATGGCTAAAAATGAAAAAGACAAACAGACAAACAGACAAACAGACAAACAGACAAACAAACAAACAATAGTACACAGAACACTACATAAAAGACTAAAGACTGAGCAACACGAACCCAACCAAAAACTGGGAGTGATCTAAGGTGTTCCGTAAGGGTAAGATCTGCACATAATCAGATCACTAGACAGAAATATTTAGTTGAAATCACACCTTCTGCTCGTTGGTCTTTAATTTGTCACCGATAAACCATATAATGAAGGTAACTTTTATTTTGATATAAAAAAAAATATATTAATCAAGCCAAAAACAACAGACTAATTACGAATTTGAGAAGGAGATAGTAATGAAGTTAAAGTAGAATGATAAAATGATATATTGTGTCTGTAAAGTTTTAATTCGTGAAGTATGTTAAAACGTAGGATGCAACTTCTTGAGCAAAGCTTGGGTTTAAGAGGTTTTGTCTGTTTTGTTTAGGCTTTGGCGGTTTAATGTTTTCAAAAGGATATTGCTTTTTAAACCTGATGATTGATAATTGACAAATGAACTTTAAAATAAATGGTCTAAATAAAAGTAGTTAAGGTGAAACATTTTTTTTTTGCTATAATAATAGGCAGCCCATAAGGTACAAGAATTATTAAAGCATTATTAACAGTCTAAGAAAGATTTGTCATAATAAAATAAAAATTATTCATACTTTTCAAAATTATTCAAAACATTTAGAATCTAAGGTTCGGAGCCTGGGTGGCCATGTCTATGAAGTACTGCATCTACTGTATTACAAGCTTGTCAACACTTATGTTGTGAGTTCATTTGACTCCAATCATAATTGACTACGATTTCTACTTTTCATGTTGAAGGTCAGTAGTTCTCTCCAATCTTACTTTACGGTATATATTTTCAATGTGACCTGTAATTGTTTACATCTTTGGTTTTTACTTTAATTGTCTCGTTGCCAATCCTACCATCTTCTCATTTTTTAATTTAAAATGCTAGTTAAATTAAAAACAAAACAAACGTGAAAATTTCATGTGAAATGGTGAAATACTATAAATACATCGAGGAAAAGTTAAAATAAAGGTTAAGAATAACAAGTCATTTTATTGATCAACACTTATTTTTCAATTGACAGTTTAAATAAGTTTTAGTAAAATAAAGCATATAATTCAAAAGGTTATACAGTATATGTTTTCATTCCACTTTTGACCCACATGATCGTCCCCGTTTTAAATTAAACATCGGGCGAAATCCTTGCTTTATTGTTACAAAGTCTATGAAGTTCTCCTCCAAACATTCCGCTTTCTTCTCGTTTACCCAAGATATTGAGTATTCTTTTAAGTCCTTGCCCTTCAAGAACTTTCCTATCTTTTGGCGGTCGTAACCACCCGTGTGTGCCTAAAAAGAAGTTACATAAAACAATATGGTTTCTACTTCAATTTTCTAGAACATGTAGAATGTTGCTATAGATTTTTATAGATAGATATGAGATTTCAAAACTATGAAATCAAAAATTATATTAAACTAGCGTTAAAAACATTTTATTAAAAATTTCAGACCATTCATGTGTTAACTCTGGAATATTAATCACCACAAGAGTAGAAATCATCTTAAACCGGTATTAGTAGATATTAACTAGCAAATATATAAGGTGCAACTATAATTTAAACTTACGTTGTTTTACGGACTTTGATTTAACCATTTAGAAACCACTATAAATAATTACAGAAAAGTGCTCTGAACTGCAAGTCCTCGAAGGTATCATCAGTGCTTTGCTACTGGGTTGATATATTACATACCTATCATTTATTCTCCGTTCATAAATTTAGAAATCATTTAGAAGCTAAGGGTCTTACATGCAAATTTTGACCTTCCATGGATTTCGCTATTCTTTTATTTAAAGTTAAAGTTTCTGACGTTTTCAAATACCTATTCATATTTTGCTTTAAATTTTGTTTTAAGCCTTCCTTATGACTGTAAGGTATGTAAAGCGATTCGATAGAAGCTAATTTATAAAGTGTTATTTTTTCAAAATAACCAATAGCTCGGTAGTGTGAAAACAGTTAAAGTCTAACCTTTCTTGCACTTTTTGTACGAACAAAGTTGCCTTTTTGTAACCTGATTATGTCGACGGATTAAACTCTTAATCAAAGAGCAATTGCTGCCCATTGCAAACTTTGAATAACAAAATAGCAAAATGAAATAATAAGTACACATACTCCGAAAAGAAACTAGTTGGTTAGATTACTAGGAATATAGAAAACATTGTTTTTTATTATTTCAATTTAGAAAACTTACCAACAATCTCTTTCGAACACTCCGGTTTGAGTACCCAATGTACAGAACTTCGTCTTCATCATTGGCCCTGATGCAGTAAAGGCCATATGTATTGGGAACATCTCTTGTTTTTCGAAGAAGCCAAGCATTATAACTGTTGTTTAGTAATTTTTTCCAAACTTGTTTTTTCTTCTTGCACTTTATGATTGGTTTTGTACAATATGAACAAGGGGTTTCCTGAAAAAAAGCAAAACATAAGAAATTCAATTTGCCATCGTTTACAAAAATATGGCCATGGTTATAAACTTAAGTCAACGAAGACATTGCCCGTTCTTTAATTCATATGTAATCGGTGATCAGCAATCGTAAATTACTACAGCCCTACATCTACATATATTTTATTGCGCATACATATCGACAATGATCGACGTCTGTTTTGTATAAACACTAATAAAGAGTGGATTGTTATGAACTATCTATGATACTGATGACCACGGATATATTGTATTGTCAAAACCACAATTCTGTCCTTGATATCACCAAAGAGAATTATCCTCAAATTTTAGGCACATCGTGCAACACGACTCGTGCTCAATTTGAAGCACGATCTGCATATCCTTTCGACGCACAAACAATCAGTCTTAGTTTTGTTTTAACGATGTCGTGTTGTTTTAGTTTAGTTTTCAATGTTGTGATTTGTGTCTTTAAATTATTTTACGGCTGTGTTGTTTTTACCGACAAAAGTCATGTCTATCATGCGTCCTAAAAAACATGTTTTGAGTTTAAAATTTCTATATGGTTATATCAAAGGGTTATAAATGAAATGAATCTCGTGATAATTAAGAGTCAATTTTTAAATTGATCATAGTTCATGCCGGGGATACAAAATGAATTATCAATTTTTTTCAAAATAAAAATTATTTTAAGACATTAAAAAGGTTAAAAACGCATGGCTTCCAGGCAAAAGGACTTGAACTCCATCAGCAGTGCCATATAACAAGAAAGAGAACAATATTCACCACGTATACAGAATAACAAACCGTGGGAGATGAAATTGATACATCATATTATAATTTTGAAAATTAATATCTGGTCGATAAATATTGGTAGCAAACAGTGAGAATTCGAAATCAAACTACATAGCCTTTTGCATATATTATTCTGAAGTATTAGCGTTATTCACTCATTATACCAACATCATAGACCCGCGAGTTTACAAATTTACCAAATATTTCAGATTTTAGACATTTCCAAATACCGTTATCATTTGCTGTCCATCGTTTATCTTGTTTAGAAACAAGACCATATTTCAAAATTTTAAATGAAATCAGATATCAGTTCACAATGTTTGTTCCTTATCATTTGCCTATAGGAGGGGGGGGGGGAATCTACTTAAAGTACATAATAACTTCAATCTACGTATAGGAATAACCAACGATAAACAAATCTAAAGTACTCAAAATCAATAACATTTGTATTTTTTACTTTAAAAGTTACAAAAAACACAACAACTCTGTTTCTTATTCCTTGTGTACATTATCAGTCTACCTTCTTCCGTTTGTTGATAAAAATAATCACTGACAAGAAATATTTCCTTTATACAACTTATTGTTCCTTGTCAAGGACACTGCGATGATTTTTATATAATAATGATGCAACCATATATCAAATCCTTCTGAACAAAAACATATCTATATCAAGATTGATAGTATATTTTAGATCTAAAAAAAGCTTATGAATGTTTTTTATAGAATATTTATCATACGAATTGCACAATGAAGGCATTTAATGTACTAGAAAACTCATGATTATTGACCAATATCATGTGAACTAGACTAAACTCTTATACAAAATGTGTCAATGTAAGTGTAAGAGAATTGCAAATATTAATCCTCAAATTTTAGGCACATCGTGCAACACGACTCGTGCTCAATTTGAAGCACGATCTGCATATCCTTTCGACGCACAAACAATCAGTCTTAGTTTTGTTTTAACGATGTCGTGTTGTTTTAGTTTAGTTTTCAATGTTGTGATTTGTGTCTTTAAATTATTTTACGGCTGTGTTGTTTTTACCGACAAAAGTCATGTCTATCATGCGTCCTAAAAAACATGTTTTGAGTTTAAAATTTCTATATGGTTATATCAAAGGGTTGTAAATGAAATGAATCAATTGCCAATCAGCTTTGGCGTAACACCAAATTCAAATTGATATAACAACATATCTGATAGGAATAGCACTCGACGGGTGTCACATGTGTGGATCAGGATCTTGTGCTTATCCTTCCAGAGCACCCCAATTTTGGTGTGCTTGTTTTTAGTTTTAGTTTTCACTTCTATATGGTGTTTTTTAGACTGTTGTTTTTCTTTTCGTCGTTTGTTTTTTTTGTCATCCCGATTTCACTTTCTCTTTGATTTATGATGTTTAATTATATCCAATTGATATCTTTCACCTAAGTAATAGTTAACACTAAAAAGGAAGCAAAAATGTTTAAATTTGATAAAAGATTTTTCATAATACAGATATATTTATATGGCAAATTTTAATTTCAAACAACTAGATATCTACATAGTTGGTATAAAACAATAGCTGTCTTGAATTATATGTGTGCGTATACTAAATATTCCAAACAAAGTTATTCTGCATGTCTGACATTTATAAACTATTTTTTATGATTCTGATTTTCGGGAATTGATTTCACCGTAATATCTATATATAACAAATATAGAAGCAGCATGTACAGCTTTTCCAACCTGTCATCACTCCATCCATCGCATTTTCGTTTTCTAATGAATAGAAGTCACAAAAAAACATTACAATATTTTCCAGGTTTTCCTTATCCATCGCAAAAGATTTTGTCGTTTTCACATTTGCAAAGCTGGTTGAAGGGTTAAGGGTAGTATAACGGGGTGTGTGTTTATATCTTTTGACTTCCCAAATAACAGTTCTGGATATTCATTTATATCAAACAATGAATTAAAAAGTAAATAAATCAAATGTATAGCGGAATACGACCATTGAATTTACCTGCTGCTGTCTGCCTACATCTCCTATCTTCTGGTATAATCCTATTCCAAATTAGCAAACACAATATAAAAAATGATAATTTTATTTTCCTGAAGTGTAAAGTCGGCTTTTTTCCTTACCATATCTGTCTACTTTTTACAAGCCAATGTTGAACCAGTATGAACTGACCAGTTGAACAATTGCAGTTCTTTTTATTTATACATGTTATATAGAACGTTAGATAAAGTCTATGATATGTGTCTCAAAATAACACTTCAGACACAATTTTTCAACTGCGCAATCATTATTGTTTGAAAATAGTTTGTTTATAATTGTATTTATCGCTTTTGCGTGATTTCCAATAAAAACATATTTAGAAAAGTTGCACACAATGGCTGTCACATGTATGGATTATGATATTGTGATCTCAGGTGCTTACCTTTCCACAGCACTTGCTGATAACATATACATATTGTATATACTGTATACATGTGCAATGTAGATTAGCATTATAAATACTAAAATATCTACAAATGTTGTTTTTAACAATAGCTGCTTAAGTCATACGTGTGCGTAAACTGAATAATTTAAAGAAAATATTATGCATGTCTGCCATTAATGATGTATTATATGATTGGAAATTCATACTACCATATTAATGAAATTATAAATAAAGAAACAGTATGTACATAGTGTACAGCAGTCTTATACTGTCATATTTTCACCAAGAGCACTTTATGTTTATTACGAATTCACAACAAACAATGTCTTTTTTGAAATATCCTCCGGAATTTGTTGTGATCGTTCGTACGTTCTCAAACCTGGTTGAAGAGTGCAGAGTTGTAGAACGGCTAGGTATTTATCCCTAGATCTGCTGACTTAGATAATGACATATCTTGAATATTCCTTAATCATGTTATCATGTTAACAGCAGACAATATAAGAAAAGTGACAAAAAAGAAATAAATCAATTATAAAAACGAATGTAGATAGGTTTAATTTTAACCACATCTTCTACCTGCTGGGATAATCGTAGTAGAAAATAAAAACAATAGCATTTGGTGCTAAAATATATTGTCAGATTTGTTTCTTACCGTATCAGCCCACTTCATCCTTTTCAAATATGAACTGACAGGTTTACAATTGCTGTTTTACTTTTTATATGAAACGTTTAATAAAGTCTAATATTAACTTTTTATTAAAGGGAACCGAATACACACTAATATAATAATGATGCAATCAAAGATTAGTTTTGCCTAAAAATAACACTAAGTAAACAATTTTCAGGTGCGTAATAACCACGATAACTTTTTTGAAAATCTTTTTTTTATATTTTGATACATAGCTGCATTTGAAATCTTAAAATAGCATTCTTATGTTTTTATATTATTCATCATGCTCTTTACATAACAGTCTTAATTTTTCATTAAAGAATTAGTTCTTTTGGGTAAAGCTTTAGGTATTCTTATTTACACCAAGGTCGACATTATATTTGCTATTTTGTGACATTTGAACATATTGATTGGAATCACAATCCCATTTTTTACCCAATATGAAATCACCTTATGAGACTTATCACCGAATGTGTACATGAGCAACACGATGGAGCAGAACCTGCTTACCTTGTTTTAAACACCTCAGTTCACTTTAAATGTTTAATTTCGGTGAGGATTCGTTGTGCGCTGTCTTCAGTTTGCGTTCATGTGTTTTGAAGACTGTTGTTTGACTTTTCATCGTTTAATCGGTTTTGAGCCAAGGCCTTGACACTTCGATTTATGAATTTAAATCACACTTAGAAATCGTTTGCCTCACTTTCAGTATCGATACTTTTCCCAATAACGTCATACATTCTGATAATTCGTTCAATTCGGTGAATGTAAGATAAGAAGATTTACTTTTGAATCCGTTATTGTTGTTTTGTAAAAGAGTTTTGATATGCTCTGGGGGCTAGTATAAAGGGGACTGTATCTACCATTCCTAACTTTGATTGATAAATTATCAGTTCTCAAACATTGCGCTCACATCTACGTATAGGGACAGCAAGATTATTTATTTTAGAAAAAACAAGAACAACCATTTAAAATGTTAAAACACAGATCACATTTATTACAAAACCAATTATTCGTAAATTTTGAGATATGCTAACTCATGAGACGCCTTTTTAATTGAAAAGGAAATTCATTAATGCTATAAATATCTTTTTATTTGTATTCAAGGATATTGTTAATATGTAAACTCATGATTATGTCACAACTGATAAACACGAAAGCTCATGGAAAACCCATATCTATATTCAAATTGATAGGACGTTTCAGATCTATTAATATCCTTTGATGTGTCCTTAGAATATTTCTCATACAAGTTTAACAAGGCATTACATGTATCCATTTTAACAAACGGTTAGAAAATTGTTCCCCATATAATTTAAACCATGTTAAAATATTTTTAAAATGAGCATAGTTCTTGCCGGGGATACAAAATGAATTATCCTTTTTTTTCAAAATAAAAATTATTTTAAGACATTAAAAAGGTTGACAACGCATGGCTTCCAGGCAAAAGGACTTAAACTCCATTAGCAGTGCCATATAACAAGAAAGAGAACAATATCCACTATGTATACAGAATAACAAACCGCTGGGAGATGAAATTGATACATCATATTATAATTTTGAAAATTAATATCTGGTCGATAAATATTGGTACAAAACAGTGACAATTCGAAATCAAACTACATAGTCTTTTGCATATATTATTCTGACGTATTAGCGTTATTCACTCATTATACCAACATCATAGACCCGCGAGTTTACAAATTTACCAAATATTTCAGATTTTAGACATTTCCAAATACCGTTATCATTTGCTGTCCATCGTTTATCTTGTTTAGAAACAAGACCATATTTCAAAATTTTAAATGAAATCAGATATCAGTTCACAATGTTTGTTCCTTATCATTTGCCTATAGGAGGGGGGAAAATCTACTTAAAGTACATAATAACTTCAATCTACGTATAGGAATAACCAACGATAAACAAATCTAAAGTACTCAAAATCAATAACATTTGTATTTTTTACTTTAAAAGTTACAAAAAACACAACAACTCTGTTTCTTATTCCTTGTGTACATTATCAGTCTACCTTCTTCCGTTTGTTGATAAAAATAATCGCTGACAAGAAATATTTCCTTTATACAACTTATTGTTCCTTGTCAAGGACACTGCGATGATTTTTATATAATAATGATGCAACCATATATCAAATCCTTCTGAACAAAAACATATCTATATCAAGATTGATAGTATATTTTAGATCTAAAAAAAGCTTATGAATGTTTTTTATAGAATATTTATCATACGAATTGCACAATGAAGGCATTTAATGTACTAGAAAACTCATGAATATTGACCAAAATCATGTGAACTAGACTAAACTCTTATACAAAATGTGTCAATGTAAGTGTAAGAGAATTGCAAATATTTACGGCAAAAAGATAAAATACACTTACGGGTTGCTTAAATATGATGTTGTTTAAAGTTCTTTGAAAATTCAGTAGGTGAATCTTAGTTCTGTAAACATTGTGAGTCATGTTACATTATTAGAAAAATATTAGAACTACTGTCTTGTAAATATCTTAAATGTTCAAATATTCTAATCTTACAGTGTAACCTTTGTTATCCGACACACTAGGGGGGGGGGGGGTGGGGGGGGGGGGGGGGGGGGGGGGGCAGAAAAAAATGTTGGATTAAGTAGGGTGTCGGAATACTGAGGTTTTCCTGCAAAGATATGCATATTTTGGGACCATGAAAATGTGTCGGTTAATGCAGGATGTTGAAAACCTCAGATTTCGGATAAGGCAGGTTACACTGTACTATATTATGTGTTAGTGTAGTAAAAAGAAAACAGAACAATGTGTGTTAACGGGGGTAAATTGACTTTCGAATGATTACCAGACATACTAGTAAATGAAAAGAAAACGATGAAAGTATGTTAACATAGTTTATACAAATGTCTATTTACCAAGTCCGATATCTGTATCATGTGCTATTAGTTTTTGGTATCCTCTGTTCGATCTACTATTGTCAGAGAAACCAGTATAGCCTACTCTCACTGACTCACTCATCCTCTTCGTGCCTGTCAGCACATAAGGCTTCCAGGTCTAATATACTCTATTTTCAATTATAATCTGTTTTTCTTATCTATGTGTTATTATTTAGATTAATATGTAACATAGTAAATTTTATCCCAATCATAGTTAGATAGTCATGTTAGATTAATATGTAACATAGTTATGTTTGTCCCCAATCATAGTTAGATGTTCATGTTAGATTAATATGTAACATAGTTATTTTTGTCCCCAATCATAGTTAGATGTTCATGTTAGATTAATATGTAACATAGTTATTTGTATCCCCAATCATAGTTAGATTCCATGTTAGATTAATATGTAACATAGTTATTTTTATCCCCAATCATAGTTAGACGTTCATGTTAGATTAATATGTAACATAGTTATTTTTAACCCCAATCATAGTTAGATGTTCATATTAGATTAATATGTAACATAGTTATTTTTATTCCTAATCATGGTTAGATGTTCATGTTAGATTAATATGTAACATAGTTATTTTTATCCCCAATCATAGTCAGATGTTCATGTTAGATTAATATGTAACATAGTTATTTTTATCCCCAATCATAGTTAGATGTACATGTCAGATTAATATGTAACATAGTTGTTCCTATCCCCAATCATAGTAAGATGTTCATGTTAGATTAATATGTAAAATAGTTATTTTTATCCCCGATCATAGTTAGATGTTCATGTTAGATTAATATGTAACATAGTTATTCTTATCCCCAATCATAGTTAGATGTTCATGTTAGATTAATATGTAACATAGTTTTTCTTATCCCCAATCATAGTTAGATGTTCATGTTAGATTAATATGTAACATAGTTATTCTTATCCCCAATCATAGTTAGATGTTCATGTTAGATTAATATGTAACATAGTTATTTTTATCCCCAATCATAGTTAGATGTTCATGTTAGATTAATATGTAACATAGTTATTTTTATCCCCAATCATAGTTAGATGTTCATGTTAGATTAATATGTAACATAGTTATTTTTATCCCCAATCATAGTTAGATGTTCATGTTAGATTAGTATGTAACTTAGTTATTCTTATCACCAATCATAGTTAGATGTTCATGTTAGATTAATATGTAACATAGTTATTTTTATCCCCAATCATAGTTAGATGTTCATGTTAGATTAATATGTAACATAGTTATTTTTATCCCCAATTATAGTTAGATGTTCATGTTTCAATAAATTCTAATTTCAAAAAAAAAGATCCTCAATAAGGAACAATTCAATCAAATGTTATAACAAGTACTGTGGATTCATTTATTTTCGTGGGTACCAATTTTCCTGGATTAAGGAAAAATTACATGTTCGTGGATATTTAATTTCGTGGTTTTTCACAATGTCTGCATACAAGCCTATAGTAAATTTGCCATTCGTTGAACTTTTAATTTCGTGGTTAACATATAACCACGATTTCCACGAAATTGGTATCCAACGAATAATAATGAATCCACAGTATCATGAGTCGGCCATAGATATTGAAGATAGATCATTGCTCTCTTATTATTGACAATAAACTATTTCTGGCATGTGTAATTTAAGTTGAGAGAAAAAGAAAAACAAAGAAATAAGATAAAATTACCAGCTACACAACTGTAATTCTATATTTGCATCATTAAGTTTTTGATATTTCCTCTTCAGCAGTCACTATAATTATTTGACTGCGTTTTCGAAGGCATTTTCGTACAGTAAGTAAGTAATTAGTTTACTATAGTGAAAGAGGGACGAAAGATACCAGAGGGACAGTCAAACTCATAGATCGAAAACAAACTGACAACGCCATAGCCAAAAATAAAAAAAGACAAACAGACAAATAAGAGTACAGATGACACAAAATAAAAAACTAAAGACTAAGCAACATGAACCCCACCAAAAACTGGGGGTGATCTCAGGTGCTCCGGAAGGGTAAGCAGATCCTGCTCCACATGTGGCACCCGTCGTGTTGCTTATGTTATTACAAATCCGGTAAGTAGTCTAATTCGGTAGGTCACATTCGTGAAAAGGGAAGGGTATTGTAGTTACGACATAAGGAAC